GTGCCTCTTCCGACATACCCTGTCCTATGCATCTCTTATCTGGTGGTTCCTGTTATACCGTTTTCTAATAAACTGGCATCTATTAAGTAAAATGTTTTCCTGAGTTCTGTGAGCTACTCTAGCAAATTAATCGAACCTGATTTATAGCCAGTGGATCAGAAACACTTATGATTAGCATCTGAAGTGGGGAAGGGGCAGTCTTGTAGGACTGAACCCTTAACCAATGGGACCTGACATTATCTCCCAGCTGGTATCTCAGAATTGCTGTAATTATTAGTACTGTTGCAGTATTAATTGTGTCTACAATACCTCAAATTTAGTCACCAACAGAAATCACAGATTTTTTGTATCAAATTAAAGTTGTAACAGATATCTTGAAATATTATTTATATTCATAACTACTTTGAAGTGATGGTCGTTATCAGATTTGGTACTAGACTATGATATTTTATGCAGTTTTTAAACATATCTGCTAATTTTTTTATATTCCTCCCATCAAGAGGTAGGAGCTATGTTCCCACCTCTTGAATCTGGACCAAGCTCAGTGACTTGCATATAACCAACAGAATGAGGTGGAAGTGACAATTCATGACTCCAGGGGATAAGTCATAAAACGCTACGCAGTTTTCACCTTGCTGGAACACAAGCACTGGGAGCTCTGAGCCATGTAATAAATCCAGGTACCCTATGGTTACTATGCTATCAGGAAGACCAAACAAGCCTAAGTAGAGAGACCTGAAAGACAGAGAGAGCGAGCAAGTTGACCAGGCTCCAACTATTCTTGTTTTGATTGGTAGAAATTTGTGTATTACAGTCTCTCTACTCTGGCAGATGGGAACACAAACTATTCCCAGCCCTGTGCAAGCATCAGAAAGGGTTTGGCCTACTGCTTTGTGGTGCCAGGTCTCATGGAGTTTCAGTCTTCATTGCACGGATCAATACTCAGCCAAAGGACAAGGGGAAAGCTACACCTGGGCAGACCTCTCTTGGTGCCACTTCCTCCTCTCTGATATCTTCTCAATGGCTTCCCTCAATTCCCATCTGTCTCCTCCATTCAGTGAAACCACTGGTCTTTGTTTAAATTCCCTCCCTGTTCTGCCCTCCAGGAAGTAAGCTGGAGTCATTGTAGGACTTACCTTATTTCTCTTCTCTCAAGGATCACAATTCTGTATTGTCTGTTGTCTGATGTCTGAAAACAGTCACTTCATATATTATGCCCAATTTTCTAGTTGTATCCAGGGGGAAGGCAATTCTGCACAAGCAGAAGTTCAAATATAACTGTTAAACCTTACATAAAAAACTGAATTATGCTATCTGATCTTAAATTCATACTCAAAAGTACAAAAAAAAAGCCCCTCATACTATATTATTAATAGCAAATATTCCCAAAAATATTCTCTATGGTGGCTCTTATCATCTCTAACTTCCCATTCTTTACCTGGGCATATTCTGGCTTCTTCACTGAAAGAGTTCTTATCACACTATCTATGACCACCGTTATTACTATAGCTAAAGCTTACACTTAAGTTCTTTTCTTAGTTGACCTTCTACAGCTGTGCTATCCAATATGGTAGCCACTAGCCCCATGTAGCTACTGAGTATCTGAATTGTAGCTAGTTCAAATTAAGAGGTGCTAGAGGTATGAAAGGCACACCAGCTTTCTCGGACTTTGTATGAAAAAAGAATATAACATACCTTATTAATTTTATATGAATTATGTTTCAATGTTTTAGATATAATGGGTTAAACAAAATAGAGTTCTAAAATTAATTTCACCTGCTTCTTTTTACCTTCGTGATACTGCAACTAAGAAAACGTGACTCGCATTATACTTCTAATGACCAGTACTACTTTATAGCAACCTCCTGTACTAATAAAACCCCTGCTTTCAACTCTCTCCTTCCACGGTTTTTGGGACTCTGATCTTCCCTAGTTTTCCGGCTACCTCACTGTCTGCTTCTCAGACCTCTCTTCTGAGACCTAAAACTATTGTTCGCAAATTTTGGCATGCTGCAAGATCACCTAATTGCTTGCCAAAAATGCAGATTCTTAGAGCTTATCTGTAGAGATTCTAATCTAATCTGGTACAAACATTTCTTATTAAGATTCTCAGTTTTGTTCTCATCTCCTGTTTTTTTCCAACTGCTTACTACACATCTTGGGGATGTCTCAAACTTAACATGTCTAACATTTAATTCTTTGTCTCTATTTTCCCTAACCCTTTGTCCTCCTAGTTATCCGAGCTAGAACCCTAAAATCATTCTCTCCTTCTACCTCACATCTATATCTAATCAGTTATAAAATCCAACTAAATCTAATTGCTTAACCTCTATCCTCTTTATGCTTCCTTAAATCCCTTACTTCAGGGTTTCTCAATCTTGGCACTACTAATATCACAACAGTTCTTTGTTGTGAAGGATTGTCTTGTGCTTTGTAGGATGTTTAGAAGTTTCCCTATCCTTACCCCAGTAGTTATCAGTAGCACCCCCTACTTTGAACAACCAAAATTCTCTCCAAACATTACCAAATGTCTTGGGGGGGGGGGGGGGAAATCACCTCTAACCCCATAGAGCCACTGCATTAGTTGACGGAGGTCCTCATTATTAATCACCTGCATTAGGGCAAGAGATTCCACCTGGCCCTCCTGCCCAGGAGTGGACCTCTTCCCTATTTTCCACTCTCCTTATAGTTTTATAGTTTTCTTCAGTATAAAATCTAGTATTTTTTTTTCACTTTTTAAAATTTTTTAATTCCAATATAGTTAACATACTGTGTCATATTAGTTTCAGGTGTACAATTAGTGATTCAACAGTTCTGTACATTACTCAGTGCTCCTCTTGATAAGTGTGCTCTTAATCTCCTTTACCTATTTCACCCATCCCCCCACCCACCTCCCCTCTGGTAACCCTGTTTTTTTTTTCTTTTTTTTCTTTAATTTTTTATGCCCCAAAAAGGGTACTATCTGTCTACTTACCTCTCCAGCTTCCCACTCCAACTATACTGAATTCCTTGCAGTTTCCTTAAGGATGGAAGAAAGTCAGAAGTGTTAGAAGAAGTGTTAAGTACACTAGTAGCTTATGAGATAAATGCAAAACTCCTAGGATGTTTTATATAGAGAGTATGAGTAACTATGTACTTTGTGAAACATAGGCAGAATTGTGTTAAATATACATAGTAAGTTAGTAAACTATAAGGCATGCCAAAGTTAAATAAAAAATATGATGGAAGAGGGTCATTTATAGTCAAAAAGGGATAGAAAAACTAAGGTATGAATAACTGCCATCTCTGGGCTGAAAGTTTTGTCAGCCCTAAATTAGCTACCCATGACACCTCATATAGTCTCATATGTATGTGCTCCATCCAAGAAATACAAATAAAATCAGTGGTCTGTTCATCAAACTAACTAGCAGGCTCTGGTTGTGGCCAGGCATGTTTCCCTGCATAGCCAACAGAGCAGGCTGTGCCACTGGCCCAAAGCACTTTCCACCTGTGGGTCTCCTTGCTATAAGCTCAACTCTAGTCCTTATAAGCATATCATCAGTGGAAAACGCTGATGTGGCAGACAGAACATATGAATATTACATAACTCATGATTTAGGTGATGTTGTCCTTCCACTTGCTTGCACCCTATCCTAAGAGTATCAACTTACTCCAATTATTTCCCTTGCTTCTCACTGGGTATTTAAATTGATTCAATAAACCAGGTTATTCAAGCATCTTAATTTGTTCTGTGAGCCTTCTGTTTCATTACCTCTAGGATAGCTTAACTAGTAGTATACTTGGAGGCCACCAGTGTATCCAGTTATTTTTCCATATGACAGCTCAATTCAAGCATTAATCTCCCCCCTGAATGCCCCTGCCTTCATGCCTCTCATTTTATCCTGCTCATATCCTTGTGTTTCTATTATGGCATTTATCACACCACACTGTTTACTCCTCTGTCTCTCACTAGTCTGTGAATTCTTTCAAAGCAGGGGTAAATTTTATTCTTTTTGTTTTATTATTTCTTAGCAAAGTACCAACCACAAAGTAACAAAAGAACGACTGAATGTGACCTCCTGCAGACACAGCTGAGGGGATTGTCCCTTGTTTTTGCCTTTCTCCCATTCCCTAGTTCTAAGACTGACTTGATTTTAGTGAGCAGCAAAAGCCTGCCTGGTTGCAGAGCAGAATGGAAGTGGCAAGAAGGACTATAGATAGGCTCACTGCATTAAAACAACCTACAGTGGTGTGTTTCATATTACTAGCAAGCTGGGGTATTGGTATGCCTTATTTCCCCATCTCACATTTTTCACTTGGCTGGTCAAAAAAACCATAGTTTAGGTGTCCCCCCCGCACACCTGAAAATCGTTGAAGGCTGAGACCCTTCAGTCTAAGAGATCACAAGCTCTCAAAGACTCTAGATGAATAAAATCCACTTTAAAAACTGAGCTCCTAAACTGTGGCAGAAAATAAGGGTACAAGAAATACACTGTTTCTTCCCTCAGAAAATTTACAAGCATCTTCCTGGAGCCTACATTTTACTTGAAGTAATAAACATAGCTATTTTTATAGCTTAAAATAAAAGAGATGCATTTTGGAATAGATTTCGCTCGAACAAAAGAAATCACATGAAACGTGAGACCATAAATAAACAGTCTGTTCCAGAGATTCTTGTAACTCATTCACTTCTCCAGGGATTAGAGGAGTGGGGTGCAAAAATTTGGCCTCACGCACAGGCGCAGAGATTTGCGAACACAATCTAAGTCGGCTGAACCTGTATCTTGTAAGAAATGGTCCCAGGGAGCTCCCAATTCCCTAACCTCAGAGAACAGACAGCAAAATTGAGCTAGCTTCTAAAACAACCATTGCCTCACGTTGCATCGTCCGCCAATTAACGCCGCCCCGCCCTTTCGGCCCGGGAGGCAGGCCAGATTTAGATCGCTCTAGGCTTCTCCTGCATGTCTCTTTATGGTAACGCTAAGCCTCTCTAGCCCTCATCCGCCGTCCTCTCAGTGGTAGCGCGGGGAGGAGAGGAAACGCTGGCAGTCAAGTCTGCTGTACGTGGATGCGGGTGCAGCCCAAACTCCGCAGAGGAGAGCGCGAGCTAAGGTGGGAGGGACCGGGGGGAGGCTCTGGGAAGGGCGCGAGTGTGGAGACAGGCCCTTGGGTGAGAGGGGGAGACAGGACCGGTTCACGGAGGTCTCTAAGGAGAGGTGGGAGAGGAGGCCCAGACACGTGAGAGGGACTTCCAGTTGCTGGCTGAGGCCTCCAGCAGCCTGCCACCCCGCAGTCTCCGGCCTCCCCCAGTTCATCTGCGGGCCCCTTGTGTCAGGACCCAGCATAGTTTCTGTCGCATCTGTGTTCTCCTTGGGTTGTCGCCTCTTTTCGGGAGACCTGCAGCCCTCAAAGCTATGATTTAGGCTTGTACTGTTTACAAGAGGGTGATGATGGCCTTGAACCTAGTCCGTAGCTTATATCCCTCCAGTTTCGTTTTTTTATTTTTTAATGAGCATCCTCCCAGCCCTAGCTGTTTGGTTGAGGCCGGAGGCCGATCAGTATTCATTTTTTCCATCCCAGTAGGATGAACATAGTAAATGATCCTTGGACGTAGCTGGTAGCTTGAAACGTTACGATGTGGCTGTCAGCTAGGGGCGTTTATGCTTGTGACCACCATGCTGTTGGGGTGGGAATAATTGCAGCATCCTGTGGACCTAGTCACCCTGATTTGGAGAGATTCATCCTCCTTGGTGTGAGATTGTGGCAGTTTACGAACGTGTATTCAAAACACGTTCACAAAGTGCTAGTATTGAAGCTAGAGAAACCACAACTGTAAAACAGGAACTAGGTGGTTTCTTGTCCTCACAGAGCTTAATATATTACTGAAAAACTAACAAGAACAAAAAAAACCTGTGATGGTACTATGAAAAGGGAAGTCCCTGAAGTTCCTCTTTTGCCTTAGGTGATGCAGAAAATAAAACCATATAGCTCCTGCTTTCCCACAGCTGAGAATAGAGAAAAAATTTTAATGCACTGTTAAATTGTTCTGCAGACCCAGAGGAAGAAGGACCTATAATAATAGTATCTGGGTAAGGCACACCAGATAGGTGAAGACACTGAAAAATAGCATTGCCTGGCACAGAAAGGGCCATGGGCTTTCCAAGCAGGAGGACAATATAAAGGCTTAAAGTGTAAAAGGCCTTTGCAGGGTGTGTAGTTTGGCCTGGAGTATGTGGCATTTGAACAAATAATGCCATGTTAGAGAGTCCAGACTCTGTTTTTTAGGAAGAGATGAAAGTATTTTCAACAGAATGATACAGAGTTCAGTTTCACAATCACTTAACAACTATAGTGTTAAGTATTGTTTGACAGGTTGGGCCACATCCAGAATCAGGTAGAATAAAGAGAACTTTGCTCATTCTTCTTGGTCTGGAAACAGTCTCTCCAGTTGTTGAAATCCCACTTCAGTTCTCTTTGGCCTTTAAGGACTAGAGGACTGGAGACAAATTGCAAATTTGGAAGCCTGATGTTTGCTAAATTGTTCCCCAAATGATCTAAAAGTATGCTAGACAAAGCATTAAAGAATCTGAGGGGAGTACATTAGGTAAACCTAGAGTAAATCATTAGGGCCTAATTAAGAGGGATTCTTCATATGAAGTAAAATTAGTTTTTGTGGTTTTTTTTTTCTCCATTAAGCAAGAACTTGAATGTTGTAATAGGCTCTGTGCTAGGCTTGGTAACTAGAGCTCTAAGTTTCAGTTTCATCATCTGTAAATGGGGTGATAATACTTCACTGTTGTCAAGATTAATGAGATGATGTTTGTTCTTAGTACTGTACCTGGCACTTACTAACTACAGGCACTTTAACCAAATATTTTAAATGGTACTATTGACTGTGTTTTGGTTTTAAGTTCTTTACTTTTCCTGTTGGGCCTGACTTAAGGATTAAGGACTATCTCATTTGGCTCTTTAATCCTCCTGTTACTGTCCATTCACTTGTAGTGCGAGTAGTTAGTATTTGATGATAATGGGTACAAAAAGTTGACAGTTGCAAGAGGCATGACTTGTATGCCTATGACCAAAACTGCTGATTTATAAAGTGCAGATGATTTTTTTTTCATTAAATAAGAGAGAATCTGGGAAAATGCCTTGTAAATTTCTAAGACCCCCCCTCCCCCCCAAAAGAAAAAAGGCATTTGTCATGAAAGAGAAAGACTCAACCTAAAAATTCAGTAAATTTCTTGTTTGGCTAAATTTCCTCCTAATGCTACTTTTTCCCACTAATTAGCAGACTGGAAAAGCTGTATTAAGGGAAACCAACGTATTGGAAAATATTTTGGGAAATTTCCCTCTAAATTTTAGAAAGAAAAAAAAATTCTCCTTGCGTAATCCCTACCTTCGTCTGCTATTTTGTTAGTGGCAGTGATGGCTGTGGTGTCCTGCTTTAATTCCTGTAGGAGCCCTGTGGTAATGTCCTAGACCTTGTGTTACTAGGAAAGCTTGCTAGTGTCATTTCCTTGTATGAGCTTGCTCAGCTACATCTAGCCTGCCTACCTTAGAGTTTGGTAATGGATAGCAAGTGATAATGCTTAAAAGCTTATTCCATAGAATCTAAATGTAAAAATTTTTTTAAGATTTTTATTTATTTATATGAGAGAGTGAGAGAGAAAGAGTGCGCAAGCGAGGGGAGGGGCAGAGGGAGAGGGAGAAGCAGACTCCTCTCTGAGCAGGGAGCCTGACGCTGGGCTCAATCCCAGGACCCTGAGATCATGACCTGAGCCCAAGGCAGACGCTTAACCCACTGAGCTACCCAGGCGCCCCTACATGTATAAATTTTAAATAATTAAAAAAAAAAATTCATAGATACAGAGAACAGATTGGTGGTTGCCAGACGTGGGGGAATGGACAAAATGGCAGAAAGGGGTCAAAAGGTACAAACTTCCAGTTATAAAATAAGTAATGCGGATGTAATGTACAGCATGGTGACAATAGTTAATAACACTTGCATATTCGAAAGTTGCTAAGGAAGTAAATCTTAAAAGTTCTCATCACAAGAAAAAATTGTAACCATGTGGTGATGGATGTTAACTAGACTCATTGTTGTGATCTTTCACAATAATACGAATGTCAAATCATTACCTTGTACACCTGAAACTAATGTTATATGTAAATTACACCTCAATTAAAAAAACTTGTTTCTTGAGCTTGCAGTGTTCAAATCATACAAGGAGCAAATAATTTTGCTTACTGCCTAAGGTGATAGAAGGAAAAGAAGGGGTCTAATCTATCTACACTTATTTCATTGTCTTTTGACTCTTCTAGTAGTGCTATAAGAATATTAAATGTTAATTTTAGAATCACAAAATGTACTATATGTAGGCACTGAATAAAATGTTGGCAACCCTAAAGCAAAAGAAAGCCCAAGATGCCAAAAATTTTTAGGGATTTTTCAAATAAAAAAAATCCAGAGTTAGTAAAGAGAGACTTTATTTGAAAGGTTTATGGCAATAAGGGAAAAGGAACTATTGCAATGGAGAGAATTCTCTGACCAAAAGATCTACCAGCATTTCAAGGGAGGAGTAAAGGATGCTAGAACAGACTCCTTGATTTGATTGTAGATTCCAGAGTGTTTTACCCTGAGGCCAGCCTGTTCTCTGGAGGAGTTGTGGGCTCTGGCTGAGGGTGGGCCAAAGTTCTGGAACCTGGGGGGAAGGACAGAAACTTAAAATATAGCTAACAGACATTTTTGTTCCAGTTGGTCACTTTTGACCATGCAGTTAAGATTCACAAATTTATAGGGGTACCTTGGTGGTTCAGTCGGTTGAGCTACAGACTCTTGGTTTCTGCTCAGGTCATGATCTCTGGGTTGTGAGATTGAGCCTGGAGCTCCACGTTGGCCTCCCCGCTCAGCGGGGAGTCGGTTTCCCCACTCCCTCTGTTCCTACCGCTACTGGCTTATGTATGTTTGCCTGCGCGCGCTAGCGCTCTATCTCCCTATCTCCCTCTCCTTTCTTTCTTTCTGAAATAAATGAGTAAATCTTTAAGAAAGATTCACAAATTTATAAGTGAGGCAAAGAATAGGAATTTGGAGAGCCTTTATCTTTCCTAGTCATAGGTAAACAAGGGGGTATCCTCAGAGTCTTGTAGAAGCCATTAGGAGAGGAATGGGAGGATTTTTTTAACCATGACTCTCAAAGAATCAGGAAAAATTCAACTTCTCAAAAGGCATTTTTACTATTTGAAATGGAAAATAAGTTTACAAATAAAATTCATCCAGACCTCTACAGGAAGGCCTTAGGAGACTCAGTGACCCTTGAGAAATTGTGTTAGTATTTGTAAATCCTTCACTAGGTGTAGTTTAAAAGTACTTGAAGACCTGGATCTCATTTGTATCATAGTAAAATCTTCCCAAAGGTGGGGCAAAAGAACTAAATCAGGTCTAAATGAACACATTTAAGGTTTTTCATTTGTTACTGGTTTTCTTCTTATCCATTTGAAAGCAGTACTTTTTTTTTTTTCTTCCACGATGAATACTAGATATACTGGTTAAAGTGATTGGCTAGAGCAAATAATCTCTTCCTATGTCTAAAAGAATATTCCACACACTCATACACAAAGTTCCACAAAAGGGGCGGAATTAAAATCATGACTGTCACACAGATATAAGATTATGAACACAGTTTTTGTTTCCCTTACTAATGAGGGAACTGGTAAGATGTTATAACCAGTTCAAATGACAAAAGAACAAAACATTTATTGATCAGGAATATTAAAATAAATGAGCACATGGAGGCAAAATGGTCTTCTACAGTAGGCCAGGGAGTCCACTGAATCTCCACTAGACAGAAGTTACAAGAATATAGACAAGAATTGTATTTGCATTGCTAACCATTATCTACAGTTGTCAGCAGTAAACTAGCAGTGGAAGGCACAGAACTCTCATAATCAGAAGTGAAAACCTTGATAGCTGTGCTTTCAACAATGCATAGTGCTGTATACATCTGTTTTTATCAAATTTATGACTCCCCTCCCTTCATAATCTTCCCTAAATGTCAGACTTCCTGGAAGGCAAGTTCATGTTTGAGTGTATTTTCCTTTTTTTTTTTTTAATA